GGTTTTTTAAATTGAGATGTAATTGACATATAGTATTGTGAACAACATAATGATTTGATAAATGTATTATTGTAAAATGATCATGATAATTTTAACATCCATCATCTCACAGGTAGAATTTTTTTCTCTTGAGACTTTTTAAGATCTACTCCCTTAGAAATATACAATACTGTTAACTGTAGTCACCAAGCCATACATTACATCCCCAGAACTTGTAACTAGAAGTTTGTACCTTTGTAAAAGTTTAGTTTTTTTTATATTGGACAAACTAGACTTTTTAAATTTTATTTTTTCAGTGTTCCAAGATTCATTATTTATGCACCACTCAGTGCTCCAGGCAATATGTGCCCTCCTTAATACCCATCACCAGGCTTACCCATCCCCCCCCCCCCCCCCCCCCCCAAACCCCCCGTCTGTTTCCTGAAGTCCATACTCTCTCTAATGTAGTTAACATACAGTGTTATATTAGTTTCAGGTATACAATACAGTTATTCAGCAATTCCATGTATTTAATTAAGGAGGGCATATGATGTGATGAGAATTGGGTGTTACATGCAACTGATGAAACTTATCTGAAACTTATGACGTACTTACTATATGTAGGTTAACTGAATATAAATTAAAAAGAAAATTCCATGTATTACATAGTGCTTGTCAAGGTATGTGTACTTTTAATCTCTCACTTTTTCACCCATCCCCACCACCCAGCTCCCCTCTGCCATCCATCTATTTGTTCTCTATAGCTGAGTCTGTTCCATGTTGTCACAAATAGCTTAATTGTCTTATTTCTTGTGGGTGCGTAATACTCCATTATATGTGTGTATGTATATTATTTCTCACAACTTCTTTATACATTTATCCAACAATGGGCTCTTAGGTTGCTTCTCTATCTTGACTATTATAAATAATACTTTAGTGAACATGGTGGTGCAGATATCTGTTTGAGGTAGTGAGTTCATTTCCTTCAGATAAATAACCAGAAATGGGACTGCTGGATTATATGGTGGTTATATTTCTAATTTTTTGAGGAACCTCCATACTGTTTTCCATAGTGGCTACACCAGTTTCCATTCCCACCAGGAGGATGCAGTGTTCACTTTTGTCCACCCCCTCACCAAACTTGTTTTGTCTTCCTGGTGATAGCCATTCTAACAGTTGTAAGGTGATATCATAGTTTTTGATTTGCATTTCCCTGATGATTAATGATGTAGGGTTTCTTTTTATGTATCTATTGGCTATCTGTATGTCTTCTTTAGGCACATTATCTATCCAGGTCCTCTACCCATTTTTTAAATGGATTTTTTTGTTTCTGCTGTTGTAGGAGTTCATTTTTTTGTTTGTTGGTTAAACTTTTAATTTAAACATTGGAGTAATATATACATAAAATTTAATATTTTAACCATTTTTAAGTGTACAGTTCAGTGACATTAAGTACATTCCCACTGTTGTGCAACAACCATCATCCATCCTCAGAGCTTTTTCATCTGCTCAAACTGAAACTCTGTACCCATTAAACAGTAACTCCACATTCTTCTACTTTGTTTCTATAATTTGACTTCTCCAGATACCACATATAGGTGGAATCATACCATATTCGTCTTTTTGTGATTGGCTTACTTCAATTAGTGTAATGTCCTCAAGATTCAAACACTCTGAAGCACGTATCAGAATTTGTTTTCTTAATAAGGCTGAGTAATATACCATTGTGTGTGTGTGTGTGTGTGTGTGTATCACATTTTGTTTCTCCATTCATCTGTTGATGGACAGTTGAGCTCCTTTCACCTTTTACCTATTGTGAATAATGCTGCCGTTCACATATCTTTTGGGTATATACTCAGAAGTGAAATTAGTGGATCCTATAGTAGCTATGTTCTGTTTTTTGAGGAACCAGTGTACTGTTTTCCACAGTGACTACACTATTTTGTATTCACTTTTCACTATTGATAATGTTCTTTTATGCACAGAAATTTTAATTATGACTTCTTTATATACTTTGTATATTAATCTCTTATCAGATATATGAATTGCACACATTTTCTCTTCTGTAGGTTGCCTTTTCATTTTGTTGATGGTTCCCTTTGCGTCCATAAGCTTTTACTTTTACGTAATTCCACTTATTTTTGCTTTGTCTTTGCTTTTGGGTCATATAAAAAAATGCATCAAGATGAATGTCAAGGAGCTTAAATACACCCTATGTTTTCCTCTGGAAGTTCTATGATCTCAGGTCTTACATTCATATCTTTAATCCATTTTGAGTTAATTTTCTGTATGGTATAAGTTTTGTCTGGTTTTTCCAAAACGGTTTATTGAAAAGAGTGCCCTTTCCTTATTGCATATTCTTGCATATCATTTATCATAAATTAATTGATAATATGTGCATGAATTTTATTTCTGGGCTTTTCGTTCTGTTCCATTGATCCATGTATCTATTTTTACATGCCAGTACTATACTGTTTTAATTACTGAAGCTTTGTAAGATCATTTGAAATCAAGAAGCATGATGGTTTGTTGTTCTTTCTCAAAATTGCTCTGGGTATTTGGGTCGTGCAAATTTTAGGACTGTTTTATTTCTGTGAAAAAGCCATTGGAATTTTGATAGAGATAGCATTTAATCTGTAGATGGCTTTGGGTACTATGAACACTTTAACATAGTTGTTCTTATAGACGAGCATGGAATGTCTTTCAATTTGTTTATGTCTTTAGTTTCTTTTTTCATTTAATTTTAAATTCCAGTGTAATTAGCATAATGTATATTAGTTTCAGACTTAGAGTATAGTGATTCATCAATTCCATACATGACCCAAACTTCATCATGACCAGTACACTCCTTAATTGCCATCACCTGTTTCCACCATCTTCCTACGAACCTACCCTCTGGTACCCATAAATTGTTCTCCAGTTAAGAGCCTTTCTATTTTTTTTTGTTTGTTTGTTTCTTAAATTCCACAGAGAAATCATATGGTTTGTCTTTCTCTGACTTATTTCACTTACGATTATACTGTTTAGCTCTATCCATATCCTTACAAATGGCAAAATTTTATTCTTTTTTCATGGCTGAATAATATTCGTGTGTGTGTGTGTGTGTGTGTGTGTGTGTGTACACACACACCATATCTTCCTCATCTATCAATGGACACTTGAGCTGCATCCATGATTCAACTATTGCAAATAATGCTGATATAAACATTGGGGGAGTGGTGGTACACATATCCCTTTGAGTTAGTGTTTTTGTGTTATTTGGTATATAGCCACTGGCGTTATTACTGGAATGTAGGGTAGATCTATTTTAAGTTTCTGAGGAGCCTCTATACTGTTATCCTCAGTGGCTGCACCAGTTTGCGTTCCCACCCCCAGTGTAAGAGTTTTTCTCCACATCCTCACCAACACTTGTTTCTTGGGTTGTTGGTTTTTCCCATTCTCAGAGGTGTGAGGTGGTATCTCACTGTAGTTTTGATTTGCTTTTTTCTGGTGATGACACATGCTGAGCATCTTTTCAAGTCTGTTCACCATCTGGATGCCCTTTGGAGAAACGTCTGTTCATGTTTCTGCCATTTTTCAATTGGATTGTTTTTTGGGTATTGAGTTCTTTATATAGTTTGCATATAAACTCTTTATTGGGTATGTCAAATGTTTGCAAACATCTTCTATTCAGTAGGTTGCTATTTAGATTTGTTATCTCCTGCACTGTATAAAATGTTTATTTAATTTAAATGAAATTAACATATCTTAGTTTCACATGTAGTGTTCAGTGATTCATCAGCTATGTAGAACATCCTGTGCTCAACACATCACATTCCCTATTAATGCCCATCACCCACTTACCCCATCCCTCCACCCACCTTTCTTTCCACAACCCTCCTTTCCTTCTCAGAGTCAAGAATCTCTCATGGTTTGTCTCCTTGATTTCTTCCCATTCAGTTTTCCCTCCCTTCCCCTATTGTCCTCTACACTATTCCTTATTTCCACATTTGAATGAAACCATGTAATTGTTTTTCTCTGCTTGATTTATTTCACTTAGCACGATCTCCTCCAGTTCCATCCATGTTGATGCAAATGGTAGCATCCTTTCTGACAGCTAAGTAATATTCTATTGTATATATATGGACCTCAACTTCTTTATCCATTTGTCTGTTGACAAATGTCTTTTTCACAGAAATAAAACAGTCCTTTATCCATTTGTCCGCTCCTTCCACGGTTTGGCTATTGTGGACATTCCTGATATTAACACTGGGGTGCATGTGGCCCTTCTTTTCACTACATCTGTATCTTTGGGGTAAATACCCAGTAGTGCAACTGCTTGGTCATAGGGTAGCTCTATTTTTAGTTTTTTGAGGAACTGCCACAGTGTTTTCCAAAGTGGCTGTACCACCTTGCATTCCCACCAACAGGATAGGAGGGTTCCCCTTTTCCCACAGCCTCTCCAACATTTGTTGTTTCTTGCTTTGTTAATTTTTGCCATTCTAACTAGTATAAGGTGGTATCTCATTGTGGTTTTGATTTGAATTTCCCTGATGGCTAATGATGATGAACATTTTTTCATGTGTCTGTTAGCTATCGGTATGTCTTCATTGGAGAAGTGTCTGCTCATGTCTTTTGCTCGTTTCTTTTTGTTTGTTTTGTTTTTAACTTGTCAGTTTTTTGGGTGTTGAGTTTGAGGAGTTTTTTTTATAGATCTTGGATATCAGCCCTTTGTCTGTAGTGTCATTTGCAAATATCTTCCCCCATTTTGTGGGTTGCCTCTTTTTTTGTGACTGTTTCCTTTGCTGTACAGAAGGTTTTTATCTTGGTGAAGTCCCAGAAGTTCATTTTGTTCCCCTTGCCTTTGGAGCTGTGTCTTGAAAGAAGTTGCTGTGGCAGAGGCTACTGCCTATGTTCTCCTGTAGGATTTTGATGGATTCCTGTCTCATTGAGGTCTTTCATCCATTTAGAGTTTATTTTTGTGTATGGTATAAGAGAATAGTTGAGTTTCATTCTTCCATATATAGTAGTCCAATTCTCCCAACACCATTTATTGAAGAGACTAACATCAAGGAAATAGAAATAATTATTAGAAATAATTATCAATAACTATATGCCAATAAATTAAGCAACCTGGGAGAAATGGATGCCTTCCTGGAAATCTATAAAACCATCTGTGAGAAGCCCACAGTGAAAATCATTCTTAATGGGGAAAAGCTGAGAACCTTCTCCTTAAGATCAGGAATATGACAAGGGTGCCCATTCTCACCACTCTTGTTCAACATAGTACTAGAAGTCCTTGCAACAGCAGTCAGCCAACAAAAAGAAATAAAAGGTATTCAAATTGGCAAATAAGTCAAACTCTTTTTTCGCAGATGACACGATACTTTATGTGGAAAACCCAAAAGACTCCACCCCAAAATTACTAGAATTCATACAGCAATTCACTAATGTGGCAGGATACAAAAATTAATGCAGAGAAATTGCTGCTTTTCTAACAATTAACTGTAGAAAGAGAAATTAAGCAATTGATTCCATTTACGATACTACCAAAAACCTTAAGATACCTTGGAATAAACCTAACCAAAGAGGAGAAGGACCTATTATTCCCTAGGAACTACAGACACTTATGAAGGAAAGTGAAGAAGACCCAAAAAGATGGAAAAATAAACATTGTGAAAACATCTGTGCTGCCCAGAGCAAGCTATACTTTCAATGCCATCCTGATCAAAATTCCACCAGCATTTTTCAAAGTGCTGGAACAAACTATCCTAAAATTTATATGGAATTAGAAAAGACCCCAAATTGCCAAGGAAATATTGAAAAAGAAAAACAAAGCTGGGGGCATCATGTTGCCCGATTTCAAGTTATATTACAAAGCTGTGATCAACCAAGACAGCATGGTATTGGCACAAAAACAGACACATAGATCAAAGGAACAGAACAGAGAGCCCAGATATAGATCCTCAACTCTGGTCAAATAATCTTCGACAAAGCAGGAAAACGATCCAATGATTACAGTTTTGTAATACAGCTTGAAGTCTGAAATTGTGATGTCATCAGCTTTGGTTTTCTTTTTCAATATTCCTTTGGACATTCTTCCATTTCTTTGTGTATTCCAGTTACTTTCAAGAGGGTTCTATAGCTTCCTGAGTACAAACCCTTTGCCTCTTTGGTTAGATTTAGTCCTAGATATCTTACGATTTTGGCACAATTGTAAATAGGATCCACTCCGTAAGTTCTCTTTCTCCAATCCCATTGCTAGTGTATAGAAATGCAACTGATTTCTGTGCATTGATTTGATATCCTGCCACGTTGTTGAATTGTATGCGTTCTAGCAATTTGGGAGTGGGGTCTTTTGGATTTTCCACATAGAGTATCATGTCCTCTGCAAAGTAAGTTTGACTTCTTCTTCACCACCAATTCAGATACCTTTTATTTCTTTTTGTTTGCTGAAGCTAGGACTTCTTATACAATGTAGAACAGTTGTGAGAATGGACATCCCTGCCATGTTCCTGACCTTAGGGGAAAAGCTCTCAGTTTTTTTTTTTTTTATTTTTTAAAAGATTTTATTTATTTGAAAGAGAAAGAGAGTGCACAAACAGGAGGAGCAGCACGCAGAGGGAGAAAGAGGAGCAGGGAGCCCAAAGTGGGCTCCATCCCAGGACCCTAGAATCATGACCTGAGCTGAAGGCAGACACTTAACTGACTGAGCCACCAGGCGCCCCCTGGATGATTTGTTTAAATGTGCACGTGCTAAAGCTCAATCTTCGGACCACCAAGTTCTATGCATTTGGCAGCTGCTTGGCATTCTGTATCCACCACTCCAGGATCGTGTGGGATAACCCCATCACCTAAAACTCCCCCAGGCTTCCCCTCTGCAATGAACCATTTCCCCTTCCCCCAGACCCTGTCAACAATCCATCCGGTTTTTTTGCCCCTACAGTTTTGCTTTTCCCAGAATGTCATGTGAATACACTCACACAGCATGTAGCTGTTTTGATCTGTGTTCACTCACGCAGCAAACTGTATTTCAGATTTCTTCATGTTGCTGTGTGAATCAGTAGCTCAGTCCCTTTATCGCCAAACAGTATCCCACTGGGTGCTCCACAGTTTATCCATTCACCTACTGAAAGACAATGGGGTTGCATCCAGTTTTTCATGATGAACAAAGGTGTGGTAAACATTGGTTTTCAGCAAATAGGTTTTTGTGTACCCTACGTTTTAATTCGCTGAGGTAAATTACCTAGGAGTGTGATTAATTCAGAGTCCTATGGCAAGTCTATGTTTAACTTTAGGTAGAAACCGCCAACCTGACTTCCAAAGTGGTTGCATCGGAGCACTGGGGGTTATACACAGACAATGAATCATGGAAGACTACATCAAAAACTAATGATGTTCTGTATGAATAACATAATAATAATCTCTTAATTCTTCCCTACTGAGCCTATTTGCTGTGGGCTTTTCATAGATGGCTTTTGATATTGAGGTATATTCCCTTTATCCCTACACTGTGGAAAGTTTTAATCAAGAGAGGATGCTGTACTTTGTCAATGCTCTTTCTGCATCTGTCGAGAGGATCAGATGGTTCTTTATTCATGCAGTGTATCACACGGATTGATCTGCGATTGCTGAACCACCCTCACGGCCCAGGAATGAATCCCACCTGGTCGTGGTGAAGAATCCTTTTACTGTACTGTTGGATCCTCAGTAGGATACTAGCCAGTGCTAGTGTCTAGTTGAGAGTATTTGCTTCCATGTTCGTCAGAGATACTGATCTACAATTCTCCTTTTTGGTGGGGTCTTTGGTTTTCAGATCAAGGTAATGGATCCTGTGTGCATTTTGGTCCATTTGTTAGAAAACTAGATCCCAAAATTGTAAAGAAAACAAACTATATATTGTCAAAAATAAATACAATGAAAGGATAGAATATAACTGTAAAATGAAAATTAGATAAAAAAAGAAAAAGGAATATAAACAGACAAGTGAGCAGAACAGAGCCCCATCCTGAGTGCATTTTCATCTGTTAGAAGAAGCTGCTCCCAAAATTGTAAAGAAAGAAAAACATATATATACAAAAATAAATACAGTGATAGGATGGAATGTAACTGTGATGATGAAAACTAAAAAAGATTTTTTTAAAAAGTTGATAAATGGGTTGAAAAAACTTAAAATTGAATGACTCAAGAATCATGGGGGAAAAACCATAAAATCTATATACTATTTTCTCCTAGTGCTAGAGTTATGCAGTTCTTTGTGATTGGAAAACTTGGTCTTGGCTGGATGTTTCTCCTGCTCTTCTGCGGAAGGGACCTGTTATGCCGATTCTCAGGTATCTTTGCCCTGGGCTGAACTGCACCGCCCTTGATAGAGGGCCAGGCTACGTAAATTGCTGCAGATTGTTCTCTGTGGCTTTTGTTCCCTGAAGGCTGTCCATGCTGCTTATAGGATGACAATGAAAATGGCAACCTCCTGGGTACCTGAGTGGCTCAATCAGTTAAGCATCTACCTTTGGCTCCGGTGGTGATCCCGGGGTCCCAAGATGGAGCACTCCATGTTCACCCAGCCTGTGACTGAGTGTTTCGATGTCATGTGACCCCATTTTAAGTCTCCAAATCCTGTGAACTCCTGTAGCATACACCTGCGCCTTTCCTCTCCAGGCGAGTTAAGGGCGGGGAGGGAGGTCTTGCAATGGTTCTGTTGCTTGCTGGGCCCCTGCTTAAAGAGCAGTGGCCTGATCATGGTGTGGTTCATGGTTTATGGCAACCCTGAGCTGAAAGCCCACTCTTGGTTCAGCTGATTGCCTCCAGCTTTGGCCGCTGTGATGCCTGGGAGCTCTGCCACACTCAGGCACCCCCGTTCCTTCTGTGACCCTGAGGATCCTGAGACCACATTGTCCCACCTAGGATTCTACCCCATTTCACCACCTGAGCACCTTTCAGGCAGGGACATCCCTCAGTGGAGCAGACTACAGAAAGTTCTGATTTTGTGCTCCACTACTATCATATGGTAGTCGGCTGACAGAGGCTCCCTCCCTGCCCCCAGTTTATCTTCCCGTATGTCGCCTCAGATTCACTTCCCCATATCGCCTACCTTCCAGAAAGTGGTCATTTTTCTCTTCATAGAGTTTCAGCTATTCTTTTCTCAGATATCCAGTTGCGTTCACAAGTGTTCAGAATGATCTGATAGCTATCTAGCTATGTTCCTAGGACCATGCAAAACTAAAGTCTCCTACTCCTCTGCCATCCTGGACTATGTCCTATGTTTTGACATCTTAACATTAAATCTTCCAGTCCACGAACACAGGATTTCTTTCCATTTATTTGTGTCTTCTTTTTTCCTTTAGCAGCATTTTGTAATTCTCAGCATACAAATCCTAAACAAGATTTAAGTACTACCCCAATACCAAAACCAGAAAAAGAATCCACTAAAAAGAGAACTACAGGCCAATATTCCTGGTGAACACAGTTCAAAAAATGCAAAAATTCTCAATAAAAAAATGGGATATAAAATGCAACAATACATTTAAAAAATCATTCACCATGATCAAGTGGGATTTATTTCTGGGTTGCAAGGGTGGTTCAATTTCACAAATCAATCAACATGACCTACCACATTAATAAAAGAAACATATGGTCATTTCAATAGGTGAAGAAATTTATCTTTGATACAGAAATGTGTTGATAACGCCAACATCCTTTTATGATTAAAAACCCTCAACACAATAGGTTTAGAGGGAACATACCTCAATAATAAAGGCCACAATGTAGAACCCCCAGTATCATACTTAATCAGGAAAAACTGAAAGCTTTAACGCTATAGTCAGGAACAGGACAAAGATGTCCACTCTTGCCACTTTTATTCAACTAGTACTAGGAGTCCTAGCCACCGCAATCAGATAAGAAAAAGGAAAAAAATGCACCCAAACTGGTAAGGAAGAAGTAAATCTTTCACTATAAATTAAATACTATACAGAAAGAACCCTAAAGACTCCACCAAAAATCTACTAGAACTGATAAATAAAATAAAACTGCAAAATACAAATTCAGTGTCTAGAAGTCTGCTGCATTTCTATACACTAATAATGAAGCAAGCAGAAAGAGAAATTAAGAAAATAACTCCAGGGGCACCTGGGTGGCTCAGTGGGTTAAAGCCTCTGCCTTCGGCTCAGGTCACGATCTCAGGGTCCTGGGATCAAGCCCCACTTCGGGCTCTCTGCTCAGTGGGGAGCCTGCTTCCCTCTCTCTCTCTGCCTGCCTCTCTGCCTACTTGTGATCTCTGTCAAATAAATAAAATCTTAAAAAAAAAATAACTCCATTTACAATTGTCATGAAATAATAAAATATCTACAAATAAACTTAAGGAAGTGAAAGACTTGTACTCTGAAAACTATGAAACTGATAAAAGAAATTAAAGATGACAAAAAGAGATAACAGTAAGATATTCCATGCTCATGGATTAGAAAAACAAATTCTGTTAATGTCTGTACTACTCAAAGCAGTCTACAAATTTAATGGAATACCTATCAAAATACCTCCAACATTTTTCACAGAAGTAGAATAAAAAAAAAAAATCCTAAGTCTATATGGAACCACATACTTTGAATAACTAAAGTAATTTTGAAAAAGAAAACCAAAGGTGGAGGCATCACAGTTCTGGACTTCAAGCTGTATTACAAAGCCATAATCATCAAGGTATGGTACTGGCACAAAAACACACACACAGATCAATGGAAAAGAAGAATCCAGAAACGGACCCTCAACTCTCTATGGCCAACTAATCTTTGACAAAGCAGGAAAGAATATCTGGTGGAAAAAAGTCTCTTCAATAAATGGTGCTAGGAAGATTGGACACCAACATACAGAAGAATGAAATTGGACTACTTTCTTACACCATACACAAAAATAAAAATGGACGAAAGACCGAAACGTGAGATGGGAGACCTTCAGAATCCTAGAGAAGAATGCAGGCCGCTACCTCTCTGACCTCAGCCACAACAACTTCTTACTAGACATGACTTCAAAGGCAAGGGAAACAAAAGCAAAAATGAACTACTGGGACTTCAACAAGATAAAAAGCTTTTGCAAGCAAAGGAAATAGTCAACACAACTAAAAGGCAACATATAGAATGGGAGAGGATATTTGCAAATGTCTTCAGATAAAGGGCTAGTATCCATATAAAGAACTTATCAAACTCAACACCCAAACAACAAAAATCCAGTCAAGAAATGGGCAGAAGGCATGAACAGATACTTCTCCAAGGAAGACCTACAAATGGCCAACAGACAAATGAGGAAATGCTCCATATCACTTTCCATCAGGGAACTACAAATCAAAACCACAATGAGATACCACCTCACACCGGTCAATATGGCTAAAATAAATCAGGAAACAACAGATGTTGACAAGGATGTGGAGAAAGGGGAACCCTCTTAGACTATTGGTGGGAATGCAAACAGGTATACCACACTGGTGGACAGTATGGAGGGTCCTCAAAAGTTAAAAATAGAGGGGAGGAGTCAAGATGGCGGAGAAGTAGCAGGCTGAGACTACTTCAGGTAGCAGGAGATCAGCTAGATAACTTATCTAAAGATTGCAAACACCTACAAATCCAACGGGAGATCGAAGAGAAGAAGAACAGCAATTCTAGAAACAGAAAATCAACCACTTTCTGAAAGGTAGGACCAGCGGAGAAGTGAATCCAAAGCGACGGGAAGACAGACCGCGGGGGGAGGGGCCGGCTCCCGGCAAGCGGCGGAGCAACGGAGCACAAAATCAGGACTTTTAAAAGTCTGTTTCGCTGAGGGACATCGCTCCAGGGGCTTAACCAGGGTGAAGCGCACGCGGGGTCAGCGTGGCCTCAGGTCCCGCAGGGTCACAGAAGGATCGGGGTTGTCTGAGTGTCACAGAGCTTGCAGGTGTTAGAACGGGGAAGCCGGCTACAGAGACAGAGCCGAGGAGTGAGCTCTAAGCTCGGGTTTACCTTGAACCGCTCGCAGGCTCAGTCAGCTCGGAGCGCGGCCGGAGGCCAGGGTGACGGGAGCACTGAGGAGTGGGGCCGGGGACTGGGAGGCCGCCATCTTCATTCCCGTCCTCCGGACTCTACGAAAAGCGCTCAGGGAACAAAA